TGAGCTGCCAGCCAGGAGCCAGTGTCAGCTGGCAGCCACACGAACACGTCACATTGAACATTTGGCCCAGCTGAGCTTCAGAGGTTTGCAGCCCCAGCTGACATCTGTAGCTGCATAAGGGGCCCCAGGAAAGAACTGCCCAGCTTAGCCCTTCCTAACTGGCTAACTGATAAAATGAGCAAAATAGAATGGCTGTTGGATTTATACCAGTACATACTGGGGGTAAGTTAGTTCATGGCAATAGTGACCAGAAAATGGACCTTAGTGATTATCTGGCCCAACCTCTCATATAACAATTTGGGAAACTGAGGCCCAGAGAGGGGAAGAGACCTAACCAGAATTTCCACAACCAGGCAAAAAGAAAACTAAGTCCAAAGCCTATTTCTTCACTTCCAGTCCAGGGTACCCTCTCCCACCCACCTCCAACCCTCTTCCACTCTTATCCCCCTCCCCTGCCGCATTCATTCCATGTGTCGGCATAACCCAGGTATTCCCAGTGCCTAGGATGGTGCTAAGCACTGGGAATATACAAAGAGGGACCAAGCAGGGTCCCTGCCTTGCAGAGGCAGTCACAATCTGACTTGGAGTGTTCCCCCTACTGGCACACGCATTGGTGCCAAGCACACCACTGCATTCTTCACGTACATTGTCCTAGGTGGGAAGAAACCTAAAAGATGGGAAGAAGACTGTGTCTGTCATTGAACAAACCTTTATTAAGATTACTCCATGCCAGGCACAGTTCTAGCTGCAGAACAGAAAGACTCAGTGGGGTGATCTGCCCTCTGGCTCCTGGGTCCCAGCTGGCTGGATTCTGGGTCTCTCTGTTCTGCCCAGGGCTGATCCAAGCAGGGAAGGATCCCTGGGTTTCATGAGCACCCAAGAGGAGCCTGAGTTTGGTCTGCCTCCCCAGACAGCTGCTTCCCCTTTCCCCAGGACATTGCTGGAGGGGACTGGGCCCATCAGGAGTAATTAACTACTCTAATGGAATGAACCAATTTTGCTGGAATTTAGCCCAGATGGGTGGAATCTGTACTTTTCTAGATGGAGAAATGCTGAGTGCCAAGAAGTCTTGCCAGCTGGGCTCTGAGCTAGGGTGTATGAGGGGGTCGGGGGTGCTCTCTAGGCCCAGGCTGGGTCCCCAGCCTTAAGCAAGGAGGCCACCAATGGACAGGTCCACTCAGCTGGCCTGGTCCTGTGATTCCCATGAATGCTGTTTTACATGCAGAGGCCACATGGGCCCCACATCATTCTCTGTCCCAACCTCCCTGCTCAGTCTCTTAGTTCACTGCTGCTGCTTAGGCCTGAAATCCCTCCAGGGGAATTTGTCTGTGAGCTGGCACCCAGTCCCTTCTAGCTCTATGACTCCAAATCCATGGTTTTTGAGGCCCTGTGTCCTGGCCAGGTCTGAGCTTCTGGTTTCTTCCCTTTAAAAGCTGGGCCATCAAAGGCTGCTTTTGGAGTTCCCCAGAGCCCCAAATACAACTTTATCCTGCCTTCAGCCCTTGGGCAGAGCCATTCTACTGACCTTCACAAGGTCTGGGTTGCTCTGGGCTGTCCTCTAAGACTGGATTCTCCCCAGACACCCCCCCACCCGCCACCCCTGCAAGGCTCCCACATTCGATTTGGATCCTGCAAATCTCTGCAGGCTGGGTGGGGTGGGGTGAGGCAGGATGAAATAAGCTGAGGAGCAGACAGGAGGCTGCCAGCCTTCTCCTGCCCTTCTTTCTCTTCTCCCCCATGAGGGAAAAGGCCCTATCACTCTCTGCCCCAGTGATGATGTCTGATAAAGCAATTCAATTACCTGGGCTGGGAGAAAGCAAGGCATACTGGGAAAGGATTCTAGCTCCTTGGCCTGGACCTGAAGGAGGAGGGGTCAGTTCCTGACAGGAGCTGGAATGCCACAAAGGGAAGGTGTGAGCACCAGTGGCTAGGACCTAGCCTTGGCAGCCATGGGGCCTGCTGTCAGGCCTAGAGACCCTCAAAACAAGGAGGGTCCAAAGAAGGAGGGTAGAGAGGAGACTGGCTGGTGCTGCCATCCCAAAGATGCTGAGCCCACACAAAGGCCCCAGTGGGAAGAGAGGAAGGGTAAAGGCATTCTGAGAGCGAGGGTCTTATTGGAGGTGGCTCTAGAAAGTCTACAGGTGCTCGACAGCTCCCATCAGTGCCACTCTGGAATCAACCATGGCCCTCTCTTCCTGTTCTTTTGCCATATCCTTGTTCCTGGTGAGGGAAACCCACTGTGGCTAACACTCCTTGTGAACTGGCTCTCAGATAGATGCTCTTCCCTGACAGCCAGAAGAAACCAGGGCACCAGGACAGGAAGGTGCAGAAAAGGTGAGAATGTGGGAAAGAAGCTTGGGGAATTAGGAATTGCCAACTGTGGCTGCTCTGTGGTCTTCTTAAGGCCTGTCGGTTATCAAGGTCTAGGAGGAATGGAGGAGAGAGGAGGCAGAGTCCTCGATGGGAGCACGGTGCTAGGAAAGTGATTTGAGGTCCTGGAATCAACAGGAAGCCCAGAATCAGTTGCCACCCCAGACCATCTGCTCACCATCACAGCCCAGAGCCGAGGGTGAGGTCCCAAGCCAGGATGTCCTGGCACCACCAGGGGGCAGCACCCTCCCATCCACAGAGGGCTGTCACACAGCCAGCTGGGCAAGGGGTGGTCCCCTTCTTCCTGGGCTCTGCGTTTTGTGTGTATAGCATGGCCTCACACACACAGAACTGATGGGATAACCCCCATGATGCCAACTGCAGCACACTGACTCCCCCAGAAAATTCCAGAAAGACACGGGTAACAGGTTAGTCCAAAGCTTTAGAATAAAACCTTCAGCAAGTGGTGAGGCCTACTCTGCAGGCCTCTGGCCTGAGCCTGAGCTGTCCTCTCCAGGAGTGCTAGTCGGGCCCTGGTCCTATGCACCTTCACCTGGCTGCCTCTCCCAGGCTGGGCCCTCTGTTTTCATCACCTCTTCCTAGGTTCCCCTGCCCCCACCCCAGCTCTCTGCTCCCCCTTCCTTCCCACCTGGCCTCCTTTTCCCTGGCAGCTTTCTCCCTCCACCCAACTCCCCAGGCACCCCTCACCACGCACAAGCACTGCAGAATGGAAGTGCCAGTCGGGTAGATTTACTAGGACCAAGTGACTCTGTTTTATTCGCTGATGTATTTCCAGTGCCTGGAACAGCTTCTGGGACATAGTAGGTACTCAATAAATATTTACTGAATGAATAGATGAATGAGGTGTGGGATACCGTGATGTTTTTCCCTTGCCTACTCCACCTCCACCAACCTCTCCCTTTCTCTGAATGACTGAGGTCACCCAGCCTGATGAATGGAAAACAGGGGAGAGACCCCAGGGGGGTCTGAGGACACAGACCAGACAGGGCTTGAAAGTTAATCATTACAGTCAATTCTTCAATATCATGTGGTTCTTTCATCTTCACTCCAGCTTCCGGCCAGTCCTGGCTCTTCTCTTCCCAGTCACGTTTGGGATATTTCTTTTTGCTGCAGCAAACTCAAAGCCAGCTAAACTCTGACATGCAAACATAAGGTTTAAGGAGTGGGAGCTGGGCACACAGGGGGCTCCGGCAAATATGTGTTTCTGACTCAGTCCAGGATGGGCCCCACCTCCCCTGCACATTAGTGCAGATCACCAAAGATAGATTGTCATTTGGTTTTCTGATCTCATTAATGATGAGAATCTTGCTTATAAAAATCCCTTGCATTCGCACTGGGCTTTTAACCTTTTCTGAGAGCACACACAGGCCCTTGTCTTATTTTTCCCCTGGATAGCTAAGTACTGCCTGATCTGGAAACTGGTGCACAAGTGTCCAAGGCAGGTGTGTCAGTTACCTTACATTTCTGCCTTAAAATCCTCCTTACACACCCAGGACAGACATGAGGCTGCCCGAAGCTATAAAAATAAAGGGAGGGGGGTTTATTAATTTAAAGATGTAAAACAGGTTCTGGACTTAAAAACAAAAACAAATGAATCTGGAAATTGCTCTTGGGATAGAGCCAGTAAAGTCTGGTTGGTGCCTAATGTTCGGGTATGGCAGCTTCTCGATCACTTAGCGAACAGGTTCAGAGGCAGGCACTGTGGGAGCCATCGAGATGAAAAAGCACAATGGCCTGGAGGAGCGCAGGGTCAGGGAGGGAAGAGGACATAAACACAGGCAAAGTCACATTACAGTGAGTGGAACAACTCACTGTTGCAGGAGGAGGTCACAAGGCCAGAACCGGCACCTCCTATGTGCCCCCAGGGCAACAATGAGCCAGGGCTTTAACCTAACGATCTAACAGGCCACCCACCCCACACCGGTACCAAATTCTGGTGGACAACCCCAGGCTACGGTTTCCTTCCACCCAGCCCAGGAGCCGCTTCTCTATCCAAGGCCGACCGGTCCCCCAATTCCATTGCAGGGGCTTTGGTGACTATTTCAGAGGCAGAAAGCGTCAAGACCGTGGGCGTCGTGGGCCCGGTCCAAGGCGCAGGATGGGGCGGGGTGGTCAGGAGGCCCCAAAACGGTGTCTGGGGAAGGAGTGGGCAGCCGCCTCCTCGAGACACAGTCTCTCTCTCTTTCCTCGCCGGCCTCCAGTCAGCCGCTCGAAACGGCAGCAATGCGACCAGCTTGGCGGCGAGGGGGCGACCGACGCAGCAAGAAGCAGCGGGCGGAGGTTAGAAGTCAGGGGTCGAGAGCGCTTCGGTGTCACCCGGGCTGCAGTGGGAGGAGCTGCGGGCTCGGGGGAGGCAGGGAGCGGGGCGCGGGAGGGGATGGTGGCGGAGGCGCGCAGGGGCGGTGCGCTGGGCTGGGCGCCGGCGGCGAGCGGGTTACGCGCCTCTGCTGCGCTGGGCTCCGGGGAGGAAGGCAGAGCTCGGCCGCGGGCGCCCTGCAGCGAGCCGAGTCGGCCCCGCGCCGCGCCCCGCCCACCCCGCCCAGCGAAGGGCGCGCCGGGGCGAGGCGGGGCCGAGAGGAAAAGGCGCCACTGGAGCGTGGCGTCCGCTGCCATCGCCGGAGGAAGACTGAAAGCCATAGAGCCCCAGCCCACCAGTGCCGAGGCGCCCCCTCCCCTAGGCCACCTCGCGTCCACCCCCTGCCGCGAGCCAAGGCCAGCGCCCCGCCCGGAGATGGGCAGACGCGTAGATGGCGTGGCTCCCAGCGCCGCCAGATCGCAGGAGCCCGGCGCCGGGGCGTTGCGCTGAAGCTCCCGCTCCGCTCGGCCCGGGAAGCCTGCAGGTGTCCTTGGCCGCTCGGCCGCCGCCCGAGAGACTCTTTCGCCAGAGCCCACAGCCCGGCTCCGCGGAGCGGCCCCGCCCCCCCGGCTCGGCGCCGCGCAGGACGCCCCGTCTGAGGCCCCCCCGCCCCAGCGCGGCCCCCGCAGCGCTGCGCCAGGCCCAGCGCAGCTCCCGGCCGCGGACGCAGGACCCGAGGCTCGCTCCTGCAGGCGCGCTTGTTTTCCAGCTGCCGCCCGGCCCTGCGCAGCCCCCGCCCGCCTGTCCGCCGCGTTAAGCTCGGCCCCACCCGCCATCCTTGTCCTGCGCTGGATTTATGAATGGGGGGAAGAGGCCACATGCCGCCGCCGCTGACTCGTGTTGACTGCACGCAGCCCGGGCCCGCGGAGCTCCGGCTGCCGTGAGAGCGTCTGCCCGGTCCCGGCAGCCGCTTGGTGGACTTGTTGCTGCTGCGCTGCCGCCGCGGGAAAACCGGTTGCTCCCGGGGCTCGGCGCGGTCTGGGAGCCAGCGGGTGGCCCGTGTGAGTGTGAGCGCGCGTCCCGGACCCTCGCAGCGCGCCCGGACTGTGCGCTTCCTTGTCTTTTAGGGGGTGGGGGGCGTGTCCCATCTTAGCTGGGGACCGTGCTGTGATTGCCCCTACCTCCCGGCCTCTCGCTTGGGTCCTCGGCTCTCCTCTCCCGCCTCCTGCCTCCTCTCCGGCGCTGTCTGCCCTAACCCCAACCACCTGTGCACCCAAGAAATCCAACTCCTCCGGCTCCGCGCCCGGGGGGGGGGTAGGCAGGGGGCAGGGCCACGCCGCAGAGGGGGCCGCCGCCGCCTCCAGCCTCCTCCTCGTCTCCTCCCCCTCCCCCGTCTGACGCTGCCTCCTCGGGAAGGGTGTTTGGAGGGCAGCGGCCGCCCCAAGCCGGAGCCCCGCAGCGCTTCTTATGATCAGCTCGGTGTGTGTCTCCTCCTACCGCGGGCGCAAGTCGGGGAACAAGCCTCCGTCCAAAACATGTCTGAAGGAAGAAATGGCCAAGGGCGAGGCGTCGGAGAAGATCATCATCAACGTGGGCGGCACGCGACATGAGACCTACCGCAGCACCCTGCGCACCCTACCGGGCACCCGCCTCGCCTGGCTGGCCGACCCCGACGGCGGGGGCCGGCCCGAGACCGATGGCGGCGGTGCGGGCAGCAGCGGTAGCAGCGGCGGCGGGGGCTGCGAGTTCTTCTTCGACAGACACCCGGGTGTGTTCGCCTACGTGCTCAACTACTACCGCACCGGCAAGCTGCACTGCCCCGCCGACGTGTGCGGGCCGCTCTTCGAGGAGGAGCTCACCTTCTGGGGCATCGACGAGACCGACGTGGAGCCCTGCTGCTGGATGACCTACCGGCAGCACCGGGACGCGGAAGAGGCACTTGACATCTTCGAGAGCCCGGACGGAGGCGGCGGCGGCCCAGGGCCCAGCGATGAGGCTGGCGACGATGAGAGGGAGCTGGCCCTGCAGCGCCTGGGCCCCCACGAGGGAGGTGCGGGCTCAGGCGCCGGGTCCGGCGGCTGCCGCGGCTGGCAACCCCGCATGTGGGCGCTCTTCGAGGATCCCTACTCCTCTCGGGCAGCCAGGGTGAGTGCAGCAGCCCGGGTCTCCCCCCTTTGGGTCTGGTCTGCAAGGGACGCATGGCAGTGATGGGTAGGGGCGGGGAGGAGCAGGACCCAGACTTACCCCAGCAGGTTGTTCCCGCCTCCCTCCCAACTCCCCTCCATGGCTCTCAGGGGAATTACACACTCCCACCTTCTCCCCTGCACGCTCCATCAGGAGACTGCACACACTTGACTTACTACTTGGACCCAATCCCAGCTGCCTGCTTTGCCGCATCCCCTAGCAGTGAGTGGGGTGCCCTTAGCTCTTCCACCCTCTTCCTTGTTCTGCACAGACCGCCCAGTCTTCAGCTCTTGCCACTCCCCCACAGGACCACAGTCCTGGACAGTTGGAATTTGGCCTTCTGGTGGGGACAGACAACTGGGGTGTGTTGTGTTAGATGTTTCCATGCTGGGCCACCTCATTTAAACCCTCTCAGCAGCTCAGTGTGCTGGCAACTTTGCATTTTAGAGAGGGGGGCATGGGCTTCAACATCTTCAGCTTGTAAGAGGAAAAGCTGAGGCCAGAACCCAGCCTCCTGTCCAGGCCAGGAGAGACCTCCTTTCTTCCAGGAAGCATGCCATGCCCCAGGGCTTCCTGCACACCTGTGATGTCCTGGCCTCAGCTAGGATGAGAGGAGATTTAGACAGAAAGGACTAAAAGGATTTGTTCTGTAAAATTTGGATTCGGTCAAAAGGCTGCACTCAAGGATCCAGAGAGCCATATATAGCCCTAAGGTCTCAGGTTCTCCATCCCTGGTCTAGGCCCTTCAGGCTCCCACAGCCAGTGGCCAGCCACAGGCTTCCTGGTGATACCAGATTTGTTGCCGCTTCTTTTCGTTTTGCTGCAGCAGAAATTGGCTTCCCAGAAAGCCCTGGTTCAGGTTACTTCTTGAGATGGGTGTACTGGGGGGGGGGCAGGAGGAAACATAGGTTGATTTAGGCAAGAACTAGTCCCTTCCCACCACCCCCTCCCCAAATCCAGTTTCCCTTTTTTAAAAATGAGTTTTATTTTTTAAAATTTCAGAATATTATGGGGATACAGGCATTTTGGTTACATAAATTACTTTTATACAGTTTGAGTCAGAGTTGTTAGTAGGTTCATCACTCAGATCCAATTTCCCTTAACTCCGTTAAGTGAAGGGGAGTGGTAGGGGGGATGTCCCATTATGCGTGGGCTGCTTAAAAAAACACACACACAAAACAAAAAACCCAAAACAACCCTGAAGGATGGCTTTAGATTCTTTATAAAAAGAAAACCCCAGGGGCTGGTGTTTGATCTCAAGGCTGGCAGCCTAAAGCCTGACTGGGGTCTGTCTGGGAGACAGGAAAGAGCAATGTAATTTGTTGAGTCTGGGGACCGCTTCTTGCTATGGAAGTTGGTTGTACCTCTGGCATCCTAAATTGCCCTGTTAATGAGTCTCAGTAACCCCACCCCTCAGCCTCCCTGTGCTGGGCCTCATTCTAGTGGTGAAAGGAAAAGTTCCACTTCTCTACCCAGGGGAGGGCAAGGGCTTGGGGAGCAGGGCTACAGGGAGGGGCCAGGCTGGCATAAATGCCAGACCAGGGCAAATGCATCTCCTGCCTCGAAGACAAGGGAGGAGCAGAGGTCTCAGGACCATAGGATACCAAGTTTGGGCTGCAGGCAGCCACTAGAAGATGTGGGGGTCTTTTTTGGGACAGAGAGTGAAGCTAGAGTTCAGCTGCCTTGGTTTCTTTCCTTGCAGCCCTGAGACCAGGTCAGAAGGTGAGGGTACAGTGATGCCCCTGGCCTGGGTCTGCTGTGAGTTCCATGGGCTTCTTGTGCAGTTCACTAACCCTACTGGTGTTAGTGCTTGGCTATCTGCATGAGGGGAAGGATACAAACAAATAATTCAGACTTTTTCAACATTGGGGGCTAGGGGAGGTGGATTTAGCTTGATAGAGATGGAGAAAGGGGACATGCCAGGGTTGCAGGAATGAGATGCGTTGGTTGGGAGGCACCATTTCTGAGCATTCTAGGATCTCTGGGGACTTTACAATTGCTCAGGTTCTTCCCCTCTGGGATTCTAAGGGGCTGTACCATCAGTGAGTTTATTTTCTCAACTCACTGCAGAATGGCCTCTATATGAGTAAGCGCAGAGCCTGGCCTGCCTTTTGGAGTCCTCCAAGAACTCAAGATCTTTTGCCCTTTTGCTGTGGAATCATTAGCCTGGGCATTTCAGTTTAGGTCTTAAAAGTTTGTTGTGGGGCAGGGCTAATTCTTTCATTTTAGCAATGAAGAAACCGAGATTTGTCAACACACTTAACTAGCAAAGTCTGCAGCCAAGCCCTGGTTTCCAGCCTTCTGGTTGTTAGCACTGATGTGAATAGCTGTATGGGGCGCTAATTGGCACAGGCACCAAAAGAGGACTTGCCGCCTGCTTAGGGACACAGGTGAAGGCAAGCCGTCAACTAACTGCTCCTGGGCATACAAATGGGAATACATATGTTTTAAAAATGAATTAGTAACTGCTATTTATTAAGCACCCCATGCAAGTACTTTGCAGTATATGCTTTAATCTCTAATCCTCCCAATAAACTTAAAACAGGGCCGTTATCCCCACTTAAGAGATTTAGGCTGTGAGAGAGTAAACAACTTGCCTGAGATCACATAGCCAGAGAGTGGCCAGTCTTGAATCAAAGCCAGAGTCTCTGACTCCCAAGCCCTTGCTCCTGCAATTACAGCATGTTCTTTCCACTGAACTAGGCTGTTTTCGAGGCGGAGAGGTGGCTCATGTCCTACTCTGGCCTGAGAGGTGTTTAGAGGTTCTATACCCCCTGTGGATGGCATCAGAAAACCCTAGGCAGATGGGGATGTCAGAAGCGACACTTACTCTGCTACCCCTCCAGGCCTGAGGGCACAGTGCTGGGACGGGAGTGCTGGGACTGTGCTGTCCCTCCTAGCCCAGCCTGGTCCCTGCCTCCCAGGGGACTGCCGGACAGTGGGCAGCTAAGGAGGGCAGAGGAGCAGCACTGTTGTGTTCCAACACACAACACGGTCATCTGAGTAGTGCATTGTGATGATACAAAGTGAGCTGAGCTGGTGATGAGAGCCTGTTGCCTGGCTCAGGCACACTCCCGGCTGGGATGCTCACCCTGCTCTGTTCACCGTGGCTGGCCTAGGGGCAGCTGCCGCTGTGCTGCTGAGCTGGGGGCAGGCACGAGGGGAAGACTGATCCTGCCCCTACCTTCCCGATGCCTGGGGCATAGTGAGTGCTCACCAGGGTGGCTTCACAGCTTGAGGGGGAGCTATGGAGGTTTGGCAGCACCCATAGCTATAGAATCATGCCTTCCTCCTTTTCTGAGAGCAGACAGGAGGCATGAAGAATGGGGCCCTGGGACATTCCCCTCCCCGACCCCAGTTTCCAGAGGTCTCAGAGGTTGGGCTGGCTTTAGTTCAGTGATGAGCCTTGCTAAGGATTATAGTCCTTTGGCTAAATCAGTTTGGTTTTCCCACAATGTTTCCCTTGCGATGGAGGAAGTGACCCACAGGACCCCCTGCTCCAGGAAGGCAGCTAGAGCTGGGTCCTCGCCTTTGTTAAGCGGCCACCGTGTGTCAGGTGCCTGACCTAGCCTTCTCACTGCTAGCTCATCTGGCCCAGGTGAGGCAGGGATCATTAACCTCAACTTACAGATGAGGACCCGAGGCCCAGTGCGGCTTGCTCAAGGTGGCTCAGCTGATGGTGGAACTGGGATCCAAGCCCGGGTCTCATGAGTCTGAGTCTGTGCTCCTACCACTGCCTCCTTTGGCTGCTGCCCGGAGACGGCCTCTGGCTTCCAGAGGGCTCAGAGTGCAGCCCCTCACTCGAAAGCTGCCTCCTCCTCTCTCTGCCCATCCCTTCTGTCACTTGTACTCACTCCCTAGAATTGCTGAAGTCTAACCTCTCTTTCTCACTGTGGGTCTTTCATAGGAGAAAAGGGAGGCTTTGATAGGAGTGGAAGCTAGGATTCCCCTGCCCAGGTAGAGGAATGAAACCAAGGCCTTCTAGGAAAGAAATGAGGGCTCCATTCCTGCCTGCCCTCCTGAAGTTTCCCTGGCTCCTCTGGTCCAGGCACAGACTTTGCAGTGACAGGGACTCACTGGTCCTGTGCCCTCTGAGCTGGGTGAGCAGGAACCTGAGCCCAGGAGGCCTGTGTCCTGGAGGGCAGTGCCAGCCTGCTCCAGGGCAGCCCCTCTCCCTCCTTCCTGAGGGCAGGAGGGGGCCAAGCCTCCCTGCAGATCCTACCCTCGGGCACCCTCCTAGTTTCCTCCTAGATGTGTTATTTTCCTCTCTTGCTCTGAACAGACCAACATTTGCCTCTGAACATCTTGTCTCTGGATGATGAGGTGTTTCTGTTTGTCAGCATTTGGGGTGGGGTGGGGCATGGAGTGGGGGAGGGGGATAAAATAAACCTGGGCTATTTTGGAGCATGAGGGGAAGCGCAGTGAGGAGCAGACTCAGGCAGCTGGGCCTTGGGAGCCAGGAGACCCGGGCCCTTCACCTGTACCCATGGGCAGTGTCAGCCTGGAATGCTGGGCACAGAGCACTTGTGCCACCCTTGCACCCTGGGTACAACCAACCTTTGGCCTGGCTCCCTCCTGTGGTTTTCTTGAGGCCAAGGGGTGGTGATCACAGGCGGGGGTGGGGTGGGGGTGGTGGTGGTGGGGGAAGGATTCTTCCCAGGAAGTGCTCCTGTCCTACCCCAGAGAGCAGCAAAGGTCCCAGGGCCCCCTACTTGGAGGTATTACTGGGCACATCTTTGTCAGTGGGGCTGATCTCTCCTCATGACAGGCTCACCAGGACTGGTCACCCTGACTCCTGTCATTCAGGAAACATTTGCTGAGCAGCTACTACATGCCAGGCACCATGCTGTGTTCTAGAAATCGAAAGATGAGTCAGAGGTGGTCCCTGTTCCTGAAAAGAGCCAGCTCAGGTGGGGTAAAGTGGTGGTCAAGGGAAATTAAGTGACAAGAAATGGCACGAG